CTCTCTGTGGCTCCTAAGCCCTTAAGCACCACAAATGTGACATTCTCACTGAAACTAAGTCCAACCCCAACCTGACATCACAGTTTTTGAGGTCAGTCACTGTGCCCTATTGGAGGCTCAACAAGTGCTAGCCAACTGTCCAGTGAATGTCACTAGATTCAGGAAAGATCAAGGGCACAGAAAGACACTTGCAGATAAAGGGGAGAGTAATAAGAAAGGAAATAGAAGGCTCATGGGGACCAGGGGTGGATCCACATTCTCAGTCACTCTCCCTTCAATCCCCTGGCGTGGGCCCCACAAAAGGGCCAAGCTCCACTCGTAACCGCCATGTGGCCAGATCTCTTCCTTCTCTCCACTCCCCCCTTTCCCCTGAGAGGCTGCTACTCATCCTTCACATCTCAGCTTAAACATGGCTTTCCAAAGGAAGGGCCATTTGACCAGATCAGCCCCACCACCTGCAAATGCCCTTAGCTCCCTGTGCCTTCCTCCTGGAGCATTTGCAGGTACACAGTCAGTTCTAGAAATGTTTGCTCACTGTCTTTCCCCCATCAGGCTGGAGGCCCCACAAGGTCAGGACCCCATCTGCCCTGTTCCCTGCTCTAGCAGCCCAGTGCCCAGCCATGCCAGGCACACAGTAGGCTCCAAATACGTAGGGGTGGCACATGGGCTGAGGATCACAGAATCGGTCCCAGGTCCTGCAGAACCTGATCAGGTGGGTGGCAGATCCCCAGGTCCCTGGGACCACTGGGTTAGAACTTTACTGCATGTGTCGGGGTGCCATGGGGACCCTGCAGAGTCATGCTGCAGCAAAGCTTTTACCAGACAACCACAGTCCCTTCCTAAGGTCCGAAACTAAAGAGAAATGACCCAAATCACCCCCCATGGAACCGAGCCTCCACGTTCCATCAGGTTCAAGTTGCTCCCCTGGCTCCCTCTTCCTTCCTCTTCACCTTTGTCAGTCCAGCTTTTACGGGGCATCTCCTATGCACCTGGTGTGTCCTGGGTGCTGTGTTTGGGCCATCAGAGGCACATGAGCCCTGGCCTTGTCCTTGAGGGCCTCCCAGCAGAGTGAGCCATTACAGGAGGGTAGGATGGGCCGCACCAGAGGCTGCAAGGAAAGGAAGGAGAGGTGGCCTCTATCAAGGGAGCCTGGACACCTTCCCAGAGGTGGCATCAGGGGTGTGTGTCTTGTGGGGAGGAGTTAGGGCCCTAAAAGACTGGCAGGATGCAAGGCTGAGAAAAGGGTAGGACTGGACTGGGGGTCCCTGCTCATGATTCCATAAATCCAAAATGAGCTGAGACAGGGCTTAAGCAAATGGATGATCCCATCTGATCTGCCTTAGAAAGATAACCACCTGATTCCAATTAGGGAAGTGCAACACACACACACACACACACACACACACACACATGCCATAAGGAAATATCTCAGCTTTCTACCAAAATGAGACCTCTGTCGGCCAGCCCAGGAGCCAACAGCCTTCCCACTGAGCTTCATAGACCTGGCACCCAAACCTATCCTTAAAATGAAAATCATGCCTGGTGTGGTGGTGCACACCTGTAATCCCAGTGACTCAGGAGGCTGAGGCAGGAGGATCACAAGTTCAAGACCAGCCTCAGCAATCTAGTGAGAACTTGTCTCAAAAATAAGTGGCCGAGGATATAGCTCAGTGGTAGAGCACCCCTGGGTTTGATGTTGATGCCCAGTGCACCCCCCAAATCACAATCCAATAGCAATGGAAACAAGACCACATGAGGGCTTGTCCAAGGACTCCACAAGTGTGAAAGGTTGCGACACGGGAAAGAAGGGAGAGTGCCTCAATGCTGAGCATCCCTAAGGACTGCCATCCCTGCCTTCGTGGAGGATGGAGTAGCAGCTGACCACTGGCAAAGAAGGGCCACCTTCAGCAGGTCAGGCCGGGCTGAGCGACTGCAGCCAGTGACTGCACAACCAGGATCCCAAGGGAGATCCAGAGATGAGCAAAGTGACTGAAGGCATTAGGAATTCACTGGGAACTGTCATTGAGCAAAGGACTGAACACTACCTAGGAAGAGGGTGTCCCTAGAAGGAGAGCATCTAGCAACTGCACTCAAGGGCCATGAATGCCTCAGAGATCCCTCTCTGGGCGAGTCACAGCAGCAACATCATCATTGGAATGTGCCAGAGAGAGTACCCCAAATGCCCCAAGAAGGTGTCTAAAAACAAATTGAGTTGGGGGTGGGGGTGGGAGTAGATCAGTTGAGGCAGAGGTGTCTAGCAAGCCTGAGGCACTGCGTTCCATCCCCACGGCAACAAAATTTTAAAAGAATTCCATCAATTTGTGGCTCTTAGCAAATGACTCCTACTCTAGAGGGGGAACGAAAGTCTAGTACTAAATACCAGAAATGCAAAAGATGTGAAGAGCCCACAGCTGGGATCCCTGACGTCATCTCACCATCCCCAACACTTCCAGCTCAGGAGGGGTCTCCCATGGAGGACGCCAGGGTCTGAGGAAGTTATTGTTATTTCTGTGCCTGTCATGTCACCAGCAGTGGCCAAGGTGCTAGCAAACCAATGAAAACACAGGTTCTCAAGTGTGAATGGGCATGACAACATCAGGATCCCCGGCCAACTCCAGACTTTTAGCATCAAACCATGTGGGAGTGGGCCCTGGAATCTGCATTTTAACAGGCTGTGAAATTGAAACTTCTCTAAATTCTTTATTAAGGAATATTTCAGCCGAGCACGGTGGTGCATGCCTGTAATCCCAGTGGCTGGGGAGGCTGAGGCAGGAGGATGGCAAGTTCAAAGCCAGCCTCAGCAAAAGCGAGGCACTAAGCAACTGAGTCCCTGTCGCTAAATAAAATACAAAATAGGGCTGGGGCTGGGGCTCAGTGGTTGAGTGTCCCTGAATTCAATCCTGGTACCCCCCTGCCCCCCCAAAAAAAGGAATATTTCAACCCCTCTGAAAAAATCCAAGTAGCTTTTTGAAAAACTAATTTTTCCAAATTCTGACCAACAGACAATTTACATTTCCCATGTAGATCCATATATTAAAAAACAGATTATAGGTTGATATGTGAACGCACAAAAAACAGTCATAGTAGGCAATCTAATTCTTAACATTAAAATCCCCAATTTGCACAGATGAAGGAAACATAGAACAAAAATGCTCAATTTTGTTTTCCATCTTAGTAAAGCAAATCAAGCAGAATCTGCCATCACAGAAGAAAGAAATGATCTCCCTGTCTTGAAAAGCTACAGGAAGCATTTTTCATCTTTGATGTGCATGTGGACCGCAAAGCAGTTCCGGGCAACATGGCATAAACCCAAAGGCATCATTTTGATTCTCTGCACATCGTTTTGGATTCCATGTGCATCTATGCTAATTTTCTCTCTCCAGCCTATTATTTAAGCCTTCGAAGGACAGATGTGCCGCTTTATAGGGCCATAATCCACTTGGTGGGCGGATAACGAAGAGGCCTTTGGTCTTCCTCATTTACTCCAATAAGAAAAGTAGAGGATTGCCTTGTAAAACAGCATGTCACTCATGCCCTGGTTTCCATGGAATGTAACCTACAGAACTCCTCAGACCAAATGCATAAATTCATCATGGTCAGAGAGATGACCCGAATTAGCTCCAGGCAGAACAGAATGATGCAAAGGCCAACCTGGGGGTATAAATAGGAAAAGCAAGAGGGTCACAAAGTGACTTCCAGAATTTTAGGCCACACAGGTATTCGTAGGACTGTGGTTCACTGTTCTGGGGATGAGAAGGCAGAAATTACAATCCTAGTAGGTTCTTAAATCTCTGGATTGAATGATAAATTCTGAAATCATTGCTAAGGATTCCCTGCACATTCCTTTCCTTCTTTCTCTCTTTTTAAACCTCCATCCCATGCATGTGGAACCCTGAGTGACCTCATGATGGGACTCCAGCACCATGCAAGACGCCCTGGTTAAGGACAGCATTGGCTGATGAGAAGTGGCACTTGTACTTACAAAATCCAGAAATGGGCTGCACTATCTCCAAATGAACCACCAACAACAAAGATTAGGGTTGCTGCAGCCCACGTCCAGTCCCAGAAGACCACCTGCTCCACGCACACCAGCACCCTTGCCAGCGGGTAGGAGGAAGAAGAGTTCATGAAGGGCTATAATTGCAAGCAGCAAAAAGAAATGATTAAAAATACATAAACAACCAGACATTAACTGTGGGTTCTGGACACACCACCTCTGTCTGTTTGATTTTTCTTTTTCTGAGAAGGTTTGGAACTCTTGAGACCCAAGCGCTGGGCACAGCTCTGACTTTCCTAGTCACATAACCTTGAACGATCCCTCGATGACTCTGGGCTCTACCTTCCCAACACAGAACAGGGCCTAGGTCACATGAAACACTGAGCAAGGATTTGTAGAAGGCTTGAACAATAAAAAATCTGCAAAATGAGCACATACCAGGGAATCTCAGAGAATGTGTTCCAGTCTCAACATTCAGCAGGCCTGAGATTTCTTTGTCACAGACTCACGTCCCTGTCATCCTACTCTTCTGCAAGTGTGTCCCAACAGACTCATCTCTTGGTACTCAGGACATTGCTACCTTGCATTTCGTCATCACCATACAGTTTACGACACCCCTCAATCATATCATTTTTTAAAAACACTGATCAATAGAGCTTTTAAAGTCCTATGCAATATTTCACAGGCTATATAAAGAAGTATTTAAATTTTCCTTCCACCGTTGTTTCCTGCTTGATTTCAAGAGTTAAATGAGCAGTTTCCCATGCTTCCTGTCTGGTATGTTTTTCCTCTCCATTAAAATGCTAAAGGTCCCCCCCCACCCCTTTCAGGAGGAAAGAAAGAAATCTTTCCCCTGCAATTTACTTTGGCTTTCTTAAAAGTTGGGCAGGAAAGTCAGTGTAATTCAGGTGGAATCGAAAATGTTCTTGTACAAGTGTGCGCAGAAAGAAAGCCTATAATTTCCGAGCATTCTTTTAGGAAGTTTGTATTCTCTGTTTTCCAGGGAGCCTTTACTTTCCAAGGGAGTATGATCGACATGCCATTACTGAAGCAGGCCCAGAACATTGTCACGCTTGCCACATCCATCAAGGAAAAATGATCTGTTCAATGCAGCTCTCATCAGGTGGGCTGAACATATACAGTGGGTTTCTTAAAGACACACCGTACCACTCAGGGCACCTCGTTAAGCATGCCAGGTTTGGACCTTCCTTGGTCTACAGTTCACGTTAATCACGATTTTTCCCGTTGTTGTCTTACTGGCCAGCTATGCCTCTAAAAATGGACTTTCTTCCTTTGGAGTCCAAATTTATGATTGTATTGTTGTTTATCAATGTATGACGAATATGGGTTTATGATTTCACAGGGAGAGAAAATCAGGGGAAGGATGGGCAGTGAGAGGAAATTAGGTCTTTCATGAAACAGATCTTTCCCAAATGCACATATGCCCTGCACCCTTCTCATGTTGGGAAAGGTTTCCCACGTTATTCATCTCTACAGCCGGCATCACAAATAATTTTAAGAAGGGCCAGGTTTTCAAAGAATAAGAACAAAATTAAGAGTTCCTGTCTATTTCACTGGTAATCTGATAAAACATTATTAATTGTTATATTGGCTTGTAAGATACGTTCTAAAAATACTTTCAAAACTGATTTCTTTAACCTCCATCCCCCAAATGCAACCTCCACACCCTGGAACTGCTCGCCAGTACAGCTCCCGTCCTGGGCGTTGGATGCTTTGGGTCAACCGTTGCCGGCAATTAAAAAATAAATGTGCAGAAACACAAGACCATCCATTCTCCCCTTTATTCTCCCGTTTAACTGTTCGCCATTGAGGCCATTCCCCCTCTGTAAATGTATGGCCGGGACAGGACTCCCTCAGCCATAAACTTGTAGCCTCTCGGAAGACACAAAGCCACGGGGCTGGTGCCTATGGCCCCCTGCAAGATTTGCATCACATTAGAGATGCTGCTCCAGGTCATATGGGTGGTGTGGTTAACGGGCTTAGTAAAGCTGTTTTGAAGAGGTTAACCCAGCTTGTAGTAAGGGTAAATAAACATAACAACCAGCCATTGTTCCCTATTCAGCACGTACTCTTATATTGAAGGCTAAAGGGTATTGAAGCTGCGGAGGATCAACGTGTGCGTGCCCAGAGGACGCCAATGAAGTTTGAAACACCAACAATCAGAGATTTTGTTTCTGTTCCTCATTAAATCATGAGCTTTTGTGTCGAGACTCTGGACCACTGTTCTTTAAGAAATTAACAGAATGGGAAGTTTTAAACTCTACACCAACCTTTTCATGACCTACACAGCAGCGACACTGCTGCTCTTAGACGAACTCCGCGGGGAAGGCTGTTCTGTTTATTTAAATTTGTAAATAGAAAACAGTTGTTTTTCAGTTTCATTTTTCACCTCCTCCTATGCCCTTGTGGCTTATTCTCTCCGTGGCCCCTAGCATGTGCCCCAACCATGGGTCTGCTTTCCCCACCTCTTCCCATTCCTACAGGGAGCCCAAGAGGTGAGTAGAGGTGAAGTTTAGTTACAAGCAGAGGTGCCATTACACCCAAGCCGAGTGGGAAACCCCACCACTGCCATGGGACCCCACCGCCCAGTGCAGGGCAAGGGCAGGACCCTATTCCAACTAGTACTTGGGAGGACCAAACCCAGGCGACATTGGCTCTGGGGAAACATATTCTTGGGACATCAGTATCTCCAAACAGGGGTCCCGAGGAGCCAGATCTTAGGTTGACATGGGACATCAGGCAGGGCCACCTGCTTTGGGCAGTACATCTCCCCTGCCCCAAGCAGCCACCCAGGCCCTTCGTTAGGACCCATCACCCTTCCTCCCTCAGTGGGCAGGAAGGAAGAAGATGGCATGTGGCCACCTTCAGAGGTGATGGGCCGCCCGCTGAGCTGCACATCAGGACCGCAGCAATGGGCAAGGGCAGCAGTTCCCCAGGAGCACCCCAGGCCAGGCAGCTACAGCCGGGAATCATGGACCCCAGTGCCACAGTGGAGACAGAGCATGGGTGTCCACACCCAGTGTCTGCTCAGAACACCGGTGGGAGGACTGCTCAAAAGTCTCTCTCTCTCTCTCTCTCTCTCTCTCTCTCTCTCTCTCTCTCTCTCTCACACACACACACACACACACACACACACACAGGCAGGGCGTCAGAAGAAGCACTGGTCCAGGTAAGCCCTTGGCTGTGAGGGGACACAAGGGCACACATTCTGGTCTCCATGCTGCCATGCAGGCAGCCTCCACACCCACACAGGTGGGCCTCCTCAGGTCAGGCCTTGTGGGAAGCTCTGGCCTCCTCCAAGGGAGTCCCACCTGCCTGGCAGAAGCAACAGGAACTCAGAAACAGCAGCCCTGCAGCCTGGTCTTGGCTTGGGACTAAGAGCAGGGCCTGGCTGGAACTCCTACCCCATTAGCAACAGGCCCATAAGTTCCTAGGTCCTCACCATTGGTGGCCTGCTCACCAGACCCTTGTCCCAAATTTTGTTGTTTAAGTCTCCCCAGCGTGATCTTACTCAACCCAGTGGCCCCCTACAGTAGAATCATGACACTGGGACTGGCCAGAGCCAAATACTGGAACCCAGGTTCCACTCTGAGCAAAGACTCTAATGAGGGCCTCAGAAGAGGGTTGAGTCACAACCCAAGCCCCTTCCTGCCTCTTTTCCCTGACTGACAAACGGAAGGATAAGGAGATACGGAAGATACTGTCACTCTTCCTCCTCCCCGCACTTCTCTGGTGCCAAGGATGAGCAAAGGTGTCACTGGGGAGGGGCAGGCAGCTGAGGGTGGGTAGCGACAACCCCTTTCAGGCACTCCTGATGTGGGCAGTGAGGTCTGCCCAGCTCCTGAGCTGGGAGCTGAGCACAGGAAGAGGACCTTGCAGCTAATCAGATTAATTAAAAACCATACCTGTTTATATTTTGTGTAGCTCCTCACTGCTCCACCATATCACCCCCTTGTTATTAATTCTTGGGGGCTAAATTATGGGTAACACTATTAAAACATTATCAGAACTAATGAGAAACAATTACTTAGAAAATGAGCCAGGACAAGATTGAGTCGAGAACATCGGTGGTGATCGCCGCAGATTAGTTTAATAAATCATCAGGTGCCAGGCAGGACTGACTGCGTGTATGCAAAGCCCGTCACGGGAAAAGGAAATTGAGATATTTTTTTGCATAATTTTTTCATTAATCTCAATAGGACCCGTGTGGTGTAGATTGCTTTATTCCCCTAACACCTTGCCGGAGGGGGGGTGGTGCCCAATAATGTCTTCATTGTTTTACTGAGGTCTTAATGACAATCTGTGACAACCTCATTTTAATGTATAGAGGATTATATCGATACAGTCATGTTTTATTGAAGTGGTCAGGGGAACTCCAATTGGAGCGAGGCACTTCTGTGAGCACAAGTTAGTAAGTTCTGGGGACCTGGGTGCCTTCCCTTCTGATGTCCAAGTTTTGAACTGCCTCAGCCTCAGCCGGCTGCCTTGCCGCCTCTCCTCCAGGGACTGCTGGGGAAGCCGTGTCCTGCAGAATGAAGACTTCACTGCCTCCAATTTGAATTTGAAAGTCACTGGTTGCCTGGCACATTTTGCTGGATAATTGGAACAAACCATGTGGTTGTGTTCCCTCTAAAATAGAAGTGTATTATTGTTCACACCTTTACACCCAATAGTTTTGTAGAAGTTTGAGTAACTGGCTTTCTTCCTTGAAGACGCGAATTTTCTAACGATGCCATATAAGGAGAAGAAAGGATACAGGCTTCTTCATTTGAAGGAGACTCTGCTTTTAGGATTTCAGTTTGCCGTGCAACATGAATCCTCCGTTTTTATTTTTTTTCATTTTCCCCTCTCTAGTAGTAGGAAATCAGTTGTTGGTACAAAGCCCATTATAAATTTCCAACAGGACTTTGTGCAGAGTGGTGCTGGCGAGAGTCACCGGATGGGTCTGTACCGGCAGAGCATGTGCCTCAGGCTTGGGGACACGGACCTCCCCGTGCAGAGCCCCCGCCCCCCACCACGTCTTCGCATTGCCATTCAGAGGGAAAGTAATTACCTGACCCCAACATTTAAATGTTAAATCTTTAGTCTTAGTCTTGCCTTCCGAGCTCTGTTTTGAACTGGGGTCGGGGGAGGGAGTAACTAGGAGAGCGACCAAAATAGAAAGTCAATCACTTTCGGATTCGTAACTTGGTACCTGCAAGCTTGCGCAGTGGGACCCGGCAGCTTTAAGCTGTTTTGAGTCGGTGATTTTTGTCGTTGTTGTTGGTTTGTTTAAATTCCAGTAATAATTTGGCAGCACACCTCCTTCCAAATCAATAAGGATTGCCAACGACACAAAGTGATCTGTAGGGAGGAACCGAGATCCTCCCTGGCGCCTTTTTGTGGAGCCTGTTTGCTGCGATCAAACCGTTCAGCCCGCAGAACATTTAGTTTGAAAAAGTCTTTCGGGACTTTGTGACTATGTCCTTCCTTTTTAGATTTTTTTTCCCTTTTCTTTCTTTGTTTTCCCATTATAAATGATCGACTGGATTTTACTTTCGCTCCTTCCGACGGGAAGGGCACGGCGAGCCTGGGACCCGCGCGCCGCGTGGGAAGGAGGTGCGCTGGTGCGTCCGCGGCGCGCAGTGCGCGGGTCGCGGCCCCATCCGCGAGCCGCCTGCGCGTCCTGGAGGCCTGCGGTCATCGGCTGGCGCGGCCCTCGGGGTGGGCTGCGGGGACCCGTGGAAGCCAGTGGGGCCTCCCCCAGAGAGGCTGCGGTCCCTTGCCGGCCGGCGAGATGCTCGCGTGGAGCTGCGCTCGGGACTCGCGGCCAACGGGGCGTCCGGCCCTGCAGGGCCACAGTGGGGAGCCCGGCGGCCCGGCGGCCAGGACTTCGGCCCCGCTCACTCACCCGCCCGCCCGCCGCGGGCCGCCCGGAGCCTGCGAGCTTGTCGCGCAGCCCCGCTGTAATGGTGGCAGATCAAAGGCTGCCCCGTGTCCCCGCGGAGCCAGGGACAATCCCGCGCCTTTGTGCGCTGTTGCTAGGAGCCGGAGAAACTAAGAGAAAGTGTCAGGAGCATGTTAATCAGACTCGTTACAGTGTAACAATAACGTCTCTCTCGG